CGAAGTGTGCGTTAGTCACACGAAACGCTTAGGAGAAATAAATAAGTTATACAACTACAGTTCGCAGAGTGCTGCTCACTAGTGAAGTTTTTATTAAGTTTTCCCCCTTCCTTTCTGGTTCCTCACCTGTACCGATAAAATAACAAATTTTGTAAATATGGGGAGTTTCGCCACAAAGTGTAACAACTAACGCAAAATGTAACAACTTTTGACGCAAAATGTAACAACTTTTGACGCAAAATGTAACATTGGCCTGAATTGTAACAACTTTTCAACGCAAAATGTAACAACTTCTTTAACGCGTAATGTAACAACTCTGGTCTTAATATATAAAGAGGAAAATTCAGACATATTAGCGTAGCTTAGCGTTCTTCTCAAGTTTGACAAGTCAAATTACCAAAACCTATTGGTCACATGACCAGTTCTTAATTTTCTCTGGTTGAATGAAATAACAACAACAACACTGTATTATGACTCGCATATATGAAAAGTTACGTTGCTTTAAAAGAATTGTTCGTGTTTGTCATATCAAGCTCGTGTCTTTTCGTCCGTGCTGTAGGGACGCAACTTAATATGTTCTAACGCTAGAGAAACAAAAATAAAATACACAGCATGTGCGAAGTCACGAATAACTACTAACACCTCTCAGTCACAGCTGGAGACGTCAGAGGTCACATGACTTACGAAAATTGCTTGTCCACTACCTTTGCACAAAAAAGTTGCCACCTACAGTAGGTCGCTAAGAGTTGAGTGTATTAGATAAAATCATTTGGTTTCGACATTGTTACTCTAATTAAAATATTTTCGTGCGCATAGAATTTAGAGTGTAGAGCGGCAGAGCGCTATGTGTGTGCGTGTGTTTGTGTGTGTTTTCATGATGGGAAAAGCAACAGTACATTGTAAGTAAAAGCAAGTGTAGGTAAGAAGTGAAAGTCGTTTGAGTAACCATTCTTCAGGTACCAGAGATAAAACTTTCGAAACTGCTACTGTATGTATGTAATATTAGTGGCAACGAAGACAGAACATTTATGCCATTACCACCTAATCTGACAACCGCATCAGCTTAACTTGTCCTCTCGCAATTCTGAAAACTTGAATATTGTGACCCTTCACTCCTCTTTCCCACTTTACCTCTACTAGTATCGATAGTAACTGGATAAACAGTAGTAATCCGAAAAAAAACATACTTCATAAGGTTTAAACCATCGAAGGATAATAGCTAAAGCTGTGCTGAAGGAGGGGGACATGGTGGGTTCTGAACACCGCAACACCGCAACACCGCAAAAAAATATTAACGAACACCGCATCACCGCAAGGAATGTCAACGAAACACCGTCACCGCAACACGTATTTTTAGCACCATGATTCGTTCACCTACGCTTAAAATAATACTTTTACACCTCAACAATTTTCCACAAAATAAACACATCACACCGCTTTTCATTGCGCATATGTCGATACTACTGATGCCTGTAAATCAGTTTTCTTGTTCTTGCCGAAGAAACCTTGCGCGAAGCTAGGAAGCGGACAAAGAGAAAAGAAAGGAGGCTCGAGAGATGGCCTTTACTCCAGATCCCTCTCTTCTCTTACTTTGCTCACTTTTCTTGGTGTATAAACCCACTGACTGAAGCCCTATCTTGACTGAAAGTATTGCTTTAAAGACCTAGCTGCGTTTGCGTTCGATATCGATAATCGTTTGAAAAAATAGAAGGTCAAGAAAGTCGTAGCACCTTGGAGCTGGTATAGACCGGTATCAGAATGACCTATAGACAAGCCGAATAGCAAAAGGGAAAAAATGGTAAACGTGTGTAATTTACAAAGCTTCCTTAGCTTAAAGAAAGCCTTCTTTCTTCCCAGCCGACGCGACATCTGAATATTTTTGTGGCCGGTAATTTTCGCCACCTTTTCCTTTTTAAATACGTTTTTTCGTAGAAAAAAGCTGCGCAGTCAATAATACATTATATTCGGCCTTGGCGTTTCCAGAATTTCCAGGATTGTTTCTGTCCTCGCTCCTCCGCGTGTCTACCGAACACCGAGCTTCGGGTGGCAGAGGTCGAGTTGCTTGTCAAGAGTTACGTAGAAATGAAAACAATTTCGGATTGGCAGCCGAGGCATATTGAAGATTGACTAGAAAGTGATGGTCTGTATTTTGTTACAAATTATTAAACTCAATGGTACGTGTTTCTCAAAAATTAGCATGCATTAGCGAAGTTTACATGCTAAATTTAGGTCAAATTCACGCCGGGCCAGCGCACGTCTCAAAAGTGCAGTTAGGCGCCTGCTGTAGTTCCATGTTCAGCCAGCGGTATTGATATGAAATTCAAGTTAAAAATGGCGGCCAATTTGAAAATGATAAATAAAGTCACGAAGATCCTACGCCCTCTGCGTAATGATGTTGATAACTTTGTCCTGTTTGAAAACGAAGTTGAGGAAAACCTAATGAGATTATTCGAAAAGCATCGAAATAATCAGAATTCGACTGAAAGAGTGCGAAATTCGGTCATTGAAGTTGGGTTGATCATTGCTGGGGAAATAACCATCTTGCTGAAAAAGTTACATAGGCGACTCAGTTCCCGGAACAAAGCCCATAATCCTTGGACTGTCCAAGTTACAATGCAAATATTCGCTTTTCTTCTGGATATGGTAAAGAAGGCAAGGTCAACTTACGGTGTCACCCATTCAGAAAGCAGATTCCTAGATATCATTGCTTACACCGAAGAGAATCGAGTGGTTAGAGATTTATCTCGACTCTGCGACGTCAACCGAGAAGCAATCCTGGAATATTTTTCAAAGACATTTCAGGGTCCCAGGAAAGGAAATGCAAGGGTGGTTTTGAGTGCCCAAAAGCCATTTACCTTGTCTTACTCGAGGAAAGGGTCATATGTTGTAATTAAATGCTACTACAAGTTTACAAATGCATATGGTTATATTCTTGAAAGTTGAAAGAGACTGTTGTAAAACTAATACACTGACACTTTATTGCTCAAGTTTTAAATTTATTGTTTAATGTGTAATCTGCTACAACTTATGACCCAATATTTTTTAACAAGTTTATGAAAGTGTGCATTTATGGGTCATCATAAATAAATAAATAAATGTATATTCATAATTAAGTAAACATATACATGTTTCCCACAATACAATGCATTTAATGTGTTATCTGTTACAACTTTTGGCCCACTTCTTTAACAAAATTATGAAAGTGAACATTATGGGTCATCACGAATAAATAAATGTTGGTTTATTAGAGCGGTTTTCAACTTAGTGTCGAAGGCAATCAACAACAACAACAACAACTTTCATTGTACTCAAAATCCCTGATGCCCTCAACAATCAATAACTTTGGTTTTGGTTTCTGTATGGTTCGAGATTGCCTGAGTAGTCTGATTGTTGAGTGATTAGTTTGGTTTTGGTTTTACAACACTAAATTGAAAACCACTCTAAATAAACAAATAAATAAATGTTTCCCATGACACATTTGAGCCACATATGGCCTACTGCTTTGCAAGCCTACTTCTAGTCCTGCATGTGATTAAATATCTCTGATTTTTACCCGGGCTTCCGGAGGAAAGCCCGAGTCTTAAAATGCTAGTGTTTTGGTCGCCAAAAGGGGGGTCATGGTCCCAGGCGTTCCATGCGTAGACCATGGAAACTGGGGACGAGAAACGCGACATTGCTCGCTCTTCGCGACAGAATGCGGTGTTTTGCGAAGAAAGTTTTGGCAAGAATCGCACCTTATACATTCATCTCACATACAAAGATGTCGATCGTTTTCAGAAACGATCGGTCCACGAATTATATTGCTTGAAAACCAACCAGGTAAGCAAAGTTCAGGCTCGAAACGTTCTCGTGAGATAACAACTGAGCCGATTGCGGTATGAGTTCAATCTACGAAAACACTGAGAAGGTATCCGGCCACTTCGTTCCACGGTCACTTCGTTCCAAGTCACTTCGTTCCAAGTCACTTCGTTCCAAGTCACTTCGTTCCAAGTCACTTCGTTCCATCGGTTGGTCACTTCGTTCCATCAAAGAGTCACTTCGCTCCAGGGGGAAACCAAGCAAGTAAACTACTAATATTTTTTACAAACTAAGCAAGTAAACTTCTAATCTTACAAAGCTACTAAACACCTTAAGCGGATAGAGTCCTTGGACTGTCTGGTATTTGGTCGTTTTGTCGTTTCCAAGTTGTTTCGTTATACTGACTCGAAATCGTTTTTATACACATGCAAAGTCG